GGCACTAGAAAGACATGTATGCTCCAAGCTGATGGAACGATAGATCAGGTGCCTATGTGATTTCCCCGGTTTGATATGAGAAGATAGAAGATATTACGTGTTCTCCGGTTGAACTTTCTAGTTGGTTTAGAAGTGATAGTGGTGCTTAGAGCAGCACATATCGGAACTGCCATACTGCTCATCACCAAGGGATAGCTGTATTCTATTATAATTGAAGAGCACCTCTCATTAACACAGCTATCTTTGAGTAAGTGCTTTTCTTTACTCAGGTGCTCTCGTCAAAATGTCAGATTAGACTTCTCGGCACTGAGAACAACATTAGCTTCAACACCTCACAACCCGAAACTTAACGAATTAGACTTGATCGCTAGTCACTTCGAACATTATTTAAACTGAGAGAGATGTTGTATATCATCGGTAAATGTTATGTAAAGATAGGATAATCTTGCAGGTCTTTCTCGAGTTCGTCTAAACCCAATACTAGTTTCACACTCTGTTAATACCTAGTATGGTCCATGTATCACGTATCTATCTATATTGGTGTAGCTTTACGAACTCGTTAGTCCTATCTCGTATCCTTAAGCTTTAACTTAATACCATAGGATACATCCCGAATTGTTCTGGAGAAGACGGCGGCGACTTCTTCAAGGTAAAGGACATATATGGGATATTAGATGAATATCATTATACATTGAAACCCCACGAACTGGGAATCTTGAAAAGACCTCGCCTTTCAGGCCCAACTGGGTACCTACGATAGCTTACAGAGAAGACACTAAAGCGACGATCTAGCAGTTCTCTAGGTAGTTTAGGCAGATCAAGCAGCCAAAGCTTAGCCAGGATAATCCTAAAACGAACGGATGTGTTTAGGATAAGCACTGCGGCGGTTATGCCTGTCATCCTGCAAGATGCCGAAGTACGAGGTCTTCTCAGATCTACCAGCAGCGCAACCGGGTTTGTGGGTTGTGGGAATGGGCCTCATCTCCACGGATAGAAGCTGTATCACGTTGATTATCTCTACTTAGATGCCGCAGAACCGCAATGTGCTGAAACTCGATTATTATAAGAACGGGGATAGTTTAGGTACTTATGGCTATTTAGGCGCTGGGAGAGGCGATCAGGATAATGTTGAGGCTATGATGTATGATGTGATGGCGATGGTACCAGATGCGACGGAGGATAGGTAGGTAGGTAGGTACCTATATAAGCGTGACTTAAAATGATGTTGCTGGCGGTACTAATATTAGTTTCATGCTCATCTCGCATGTCGTGACCCTTGCATAGTAAAGGATATTCTCTAATTAATAAAATAGCCAGTAATTGAGGATAATGCTTGAACGAATAAGGGTTAGATATAGAGCTTTAAAGGCACAGTAAAAAGCAAGTATATTTTCCTACATGAAGCTGTAATATTCAAGACTTCCGAAGAGTCTCTATCGCTTAACCCCGCGGCTACCCCCCAATCCGGCCATGTCCTGCTTGCTGGTCAAGATATTATCCAAGATTATTATCCAAGATTATAATAGTCTTTCTTGTCTAATATGAAACGTGGTAGAAGAAGCGGCCTACCTAGCTTCTAACAAAGGGTCATTAATAACTGATAACTGACACAATTGCGGCCGACGAATTTCTATGCGACTTGCACTTATAATTTAACTTACTTAGGCACAATGCGGAGGGTGTCAAAAAAGCCCCCTCTGCATGGGACAGTGCATATTGAAAACAGGCATCTCTTTCATCTTACACGTAGGACACGCATGTATACTTACCTAGGGTAGGTAGTTGGGGACTCGGTGTGTTGTACTGTCTGTTTGTTTTCATAGCCCTTGCAGCTATATAGGTTTATAACATCAAACATGTTTCCAAAGTCCAATTCTTTTAATATATTATATAATGCTAAACGGGAATTGCCGTGTTGTTTGTACATACCTTATTAGATCTGTGGCGGTCTAACATCGTATATTTCTCAAAGTAAACAACCCTTCCTCTACAAGCCTGTCGCTGGTCCCTGAATGATTCCAAATCGATAAAGCTTGGCGCAGCGAGCCTGAGCCTGAGCCTGAGCCTGAGCCTGAGCCTGAGCCTGGGCCCGAGCCTGAGTATGCTTTGACGTCGAGCGCCTATCATGACGTTTGGTGTTTGATCTCGGGCTCTACACTATGAACCTGCGAACATGCTACATAGCACACAATCACCAAATTCTCTGAGCATGATGGGGGGTTGAGCAAGTTATCGCGGGAATTCCTGCTCCATCCTTGAGGATCTCGGGATCCGTCGCTGTGTACCAAGCAATTTAAATGAAATCCTTATTACTTTCGTCCTACCCACGCGGGAGCAGCCATGGTATTCGCAGCCGCAACTTGCAAAACATAACCGAAGATGACCGGACAACAGCATATGCGATGCGTCTTTTTAATCCAGCCTTGGTTGCTCGGTCCCGGATCTACACAAGCAAACTTCCATAGCTTCCAGATCACTGGATGGATGTCTGCCCACTTAGGTATCGGTATCTATGTATTTAGACCCCAGACCCCTTGCTTGAGCAGCCTACTATGTATGTAGGTGTAGCATATATGGGGTTTGAATTGTCCAATGGGCTAAAGGTTTAACGTCGATCTATCAGAGCGACCCCGAATTTGCTATGTGATAGAAAAACATTATAGCGGTTGGTTGAAGCTGGCGAATGAACATTCTCATTACCTACTCATGTCATGTAATTAGTAAGACGGTTCTTATGTGATACTGTATGTAGAGACCGAAGGATCGTGTACCAGGACGCGCCCATGGGTTACGCTTGAAAGATGCTGGCAAGGGACGGATATAAGCGCTTAAATGGTCCCTGACTATTCCGTACATGATAACTTCATATTACTATGTGCGGCACCTACATAAGTAAGCATACAGCATGTGATATACTTACCTCTATAGGTACTTAGGTAGGTATGTATTATGGTGGGCCTTGTGTTGGTCTCTTGAGGACGAGAGTTGCATCGCACTGATGGAAGACATATTTCTTCCATCGTCGGGAGAAACCACGGGACAACGGATTCACTTGAGCCACCGAGGCATACGTAGCCTAGTCGTAAATACTTCGTACTTCGTATAAAGAAACAAAACAAAAATTGTCGTTGGAAATAGTACACTAACGTCAACAATCCTGCATACGTAAACCACACTGCCGGTACGAGGTGGGCCAAGGTGGGCTAAGATGGGCAAAGGGATGCCAAAAAGTACCAAAAGGTTTCCAAACCCGCTTGACGCTCCGATGCACGCTTTCTTATCCGGGCTGGTCGAAACTTGGTGGGTTTCAGGTTTGGAGATCATGACCTACGCCCCTGTCAACGAACCCTTCTGCCTTGCCTCCCCTGCACGTTTTAAGAAGGAACATGATGGTCATATAGGGTAACTTGGTGACTGCTTGGTGAAGCGGCGAAGTAAGCGCGAAGTGGGCGCGAAGTGGCGCAAAAATCCACCAGACCAATCGACGTTTATGCTGCCATCGTCGTTGGTGATTGAGATTGGCGCTGGGCTAATCGTGTTATTAGCCCTCGCCCTCTAACGTTGCAGATCCAGTCACTTGGAACACTGGTGTCTAGGATAATGAGGTATAGTGAGAATACCAAGTGCTAAGTGCTAAGTGCTACATACCTCATGTAGTAATAGTAAATGCTATGCAAGTACTATCTTGGATAATAAGGCTCTGTGTTAACATATTAGCACATTAGCATATT